TAATTCAAAAGATTTGTCTATGCTGAATGTGAAGTATTAACTTTAATAAAGTGAAAAAAAATGTGTCATAATTTTCAGTCTTTCTGATGCTCAAGTCTAAAAATCTAGTCGATGTAGATACTGTTGTTTACCTCTAATAAGGTAAAACCTAATTCTTAGGTGTTCTAAAAATATACTTGCTGGTCAAAGAAAATATTTTACTCAGTCAAGAGCTTATAGTGAATCAGTGAGACACCTGAGATGTTTGATAGGCCTGCAGCTCTTTCTTTTGAGCCTTGGCATTTGGCACTTCTCAATATACCTTCAATGGGAATTAATAGAAGGAGCCAAAAAAAGGACCCTGAACCACAACTAGATAAGAAAAGACCACAACAACTATATTCGCATCCCTGCAGGGATTACAGAGTAACAAGAAATTGAGAGACACAAGAACTGAGAAGGGACAGATGAAAAGGAAGCATGTGACAGAAGGCTGGGGGTGGGGTGGGGGGACAGAGTGATGGATAGTATTGGATGCAGAGCAGGAAAGAGCAGAGGCCGAAACACTGAAACAAAGGTGATGGGTGATAATGAAAAGGTGTCTTTTAAAATACCATACGCAGCACAGTTCAGTTAGATTTACTTTAGATTTGAAATATGCCCTAAATTAGAAATATTTTGATAATGTAAACTTCTAAGTGTAGGATAGAAGCAAACACTGACAAAGCTATCATTTAAAATATTAAATGATAGCATTTTATACTTCACACTTCACCATGTCTTATTGCCAACTTGAAAACATCTGTTACTGAAGATGCTTCACAAGCTTTTGCAGGGCTCATAATTACATGCATTCAGGAGCAGTTCTTCTAAGTGAACCAATTTAGGCTGAGGGCAATATTTATTTTTGCAGTCCTGTAAGTGGCAAATTGTTCTCCCATTAGTTACCTGAGGTTACTTGAGGACAGGGAGATCGTAAAACTTGAACGTGTTCTGGAAGGCCCCTAACAAAACGTGTAGCTCAGGCAAGAAAAGCATAACCCTTATCAAAGAGGACTGTTACCATGTGTAGAAGCTAAATGCTCTTTCTGTAAGACTGTCACATCTGCTTTCAGTCCCCGTGCCAAAGGGTCAGAGCTCAATCACAAGCCTGTGGCACCCCCTGCTGGTTAAAAGCCCGTGCTCATTTTGTTACTTTACCCTGAGCTCAACGTCGCCGTCATTTCACACTTCCTTTAACATTCTACGTGAATTTAATTATCATTTGTTTGGACTTCATTTGTTACAGAGTAGAGACAGTTTATTGCAGATGTTCACATTTTGGGTGATTTCTTCTCCTTCATTTCCCCCCGCCCCCCGGCCCCATCAGTTACTTCTCAAGATTCATCAAAAGCTTCAAGGGTCTTCCATCAGCCCACCAGGCCTCAATTTTTCTTCAATCCAGCTTTTTGATGAGCATGGTCAAGAAATTAAGAATCCACTTTCACTGGAGAACAAGCAAAAAATTTGGGTCTCTTATGGTAAAGCATACAGGTAGGAGCAAGATGTTTATTCTCTGTATGTCCTCAATCTGTCCACGGGTGAATTAATTTAAAAGGAGAGTTGAGAAGCCAAGTAGCAACCTTGATTAAAAAAAAAAAATGTTTATTTTGAATTCCAATGAAATTTCAGGGGTGTTTTTGCGAGGCAGTATTGTTTGTGGAATATGACATCTCTCTCTCTCTCTCTTTCTGACTTTCTGTCTTAATGCCTTGTCATAGTTCTTGAAGTCTGCCTGTCAGCACAGCAAGAGGGATTTGTTCATGTCTGAGTAGTCACCTTAATGATAGCAGATGGAAACGCCACGGGGGGCCCAAGCCCATCACACTGTCATTGTCGCACACTGCCCTGACCTGCTTCCACTCCTCTATTTTTTTTTTTGGTCCCTTTTTAAAGGAGAAATGGATGGTAATTGAAAAGGATCTTAAGCAAGATTTATGAAGCTGTAGACAACATGATTCCCCACTATCTCTCTATGTTTTCACAAATAAAGTCTTAACCTTTTAAGTACCAGTGACAGGACAGCTAAAGATAAATTTGTAAAGCTCGTAAGCCCTATCCTATCAAAATTATGTTCCTTAAAAGTGCCTTACATTATCCCACAATAATTACTGGTTATTGCTGAGCATTGTGTAAGTTTTTGTGGATTGGTAAATTTCTGCATAAAATTATCTGCGTTATTTCTGAAGAAAGAAATTATTTCTGAAGAAAGGAAAAGGCTGCAGTACGAAGGCTTTGATGAGCTGGGCTGTTAAATTGAATATCTTGGAAATTTATGCATATTTTGACAGGACACATACAGATGAACTTTGAAACTGCTTGTCAGGAAACTTAAACACACTTTTCTGCCTGTTTTTAATTTTTCTTTTAGCCCATTCTTTAGCTGTAGAACAGAATGAGAGAAAATAATTTTGCCAGTGGAGTAAAATTGATCATATATTCATTATAATAAAAATAGCATAAACAGACTTAAATCTTAGCAAAGTAATATTTGCTATATATTCAAATAGTCTAAATTTCAAACACTGAAACAGATCTACTCAGGAATTCATAAAGATGTTGGAAGAAGTTAATAGGATGAGTGTGGGTAACAGGTTACAAAATTTTATTTTGTCTGTCCCAATAGACTAAATTTAAAATACTCAATGATTTCTGTGCTGTGTAATTCATAGAATTAAACATATCCATAAGGAATGATAAATTTTATTCTATTGGCAAATTTCAAAATATAATTTAATTTCATTGTGATTAGAATTGTTTTTACAATGATAAAGATGGTAATGAATTTTAAAGTAGCAAGAATTCTTAAATAATTTAGCAAGCACTTCCAGTTACAAGGAAAAGGTTTAATAAAATGTGTGTCATTATTATTTATTCTTAATATCATTGTCAAAGTGAAAGTAATTACAGGCTAATTTTGATATTTTTAATGACGTTTCCTATGAAGCAGTATTTTAGTAAGACCAAACACTTGTTCTTGGCTAATTGGGTTATATTTGTGGAATAACTAATAAAATGCCAATTATCTGGAGTATTCTAAAATCAGCTGAGGATTGTAGCTGAAGAGATTTACAAGTGCATATATTTATTTGTATTTCATTGTTATTTTAACAGGACAATTTTTTTTCTTTCTGCTTTAAATCCAATATAAAGCACCAACCAACCATTATATCATTTTGCTACCACTGAAACTTTTAAACTTTTCATGTCTAAAAAGTTATTACCATCTAGTTTAAACTATATGGATAAAATGTGAAGTATGAACTAAGCAAATGGTATTCATTTTCAGGAAGTAATTCCAACTTGTCTACATTATGTGGATATGGGAAGGGGGGTCAGGCTACTCACTTACAAAAGATAATTTTGCCAATATTTGCTTCTATTTTGAGTCCTTTAATGATCCTCCCCCCCAATTTTTAGTTTGAAAAGTTTTAAATCTTCAGAACAGTTGAAAGAATAGTACAATGAACACCTATGTATTCTTCACCTGAATTCATCAGTTTTAATTAAAGAGTTTGCCACATTTGTTTTACCTCTTTTCTGTTTCCTTTCTTTCTCTCTTAAATAGTTTGGAAGTAATTCAAGACAATCGTTTTACTCCTAAATGCTTCATATCACATAATTGAAGAACAGGACATTCTTCTACATCATCACATTATAATATCTAACACAGTCAACAATAATGTAATATCATTTAATATACAGTCTATATGCAGGCTACCCTAAATGTGCTTTAGAGCTTTTTGTAATTCAGTAGCCAAGTAAACTTCCTGTATTACACTTAGTTATTTTCTCTAGTTCTTTTTAATCTAGAATACTCCCTCCAGATTTTGTTTTGTTTTCCATGGCATTGATTTTTTTTCAAGAGTCAGTCACTTTTCTTGTAGAATGTCCCACAATCTGGATTTATCAGAGTGTTTTCTCATTAAATTCAGTTTAAATATTTTGGCAACAAGACCACACAGATGATGTCGTTGAGTCCTTTACTTCCAGGATTAAATAGCAAGATTTTGTTACCAATTTAGAGAAAAAAAGGCTCATGTTTTACAAGTGAGCATTCTTTTGATTTTAATTGCCAAATTCACCTAAAACAATGTGCCTAACAATATGTAACATGAAAATCAAATCAGCATAGCATTTAGTGAGCTCACAAACAATAGTTGTTTTTAGCCGAGTATTAAGGACTCATTTGTCAGTTCCACAGATTACTATGGATATATCGCATCACAGTTATACATAAGAAATGAACATTATATAAGCGACAACTGATTGTTTTTCTCAACTAAATACTTTGCTTTTATTATTGGAATTATTTTTTTTAAATTATGTGTGTCGCAGCTATTCTTGGCATATTTTAAATCAGCTAAATAAACAAATGTACATTTCAGGTGTTAATATAGGATACTAATGGTAGTGCTATATAATAAGAAATTCTCTTATAATAAGAAATTACTTATTTTGGGGTTTTATTAGACTCTGATATTGTATATTTTATTTTTTATTTGAGCTCAAACTTCAGTCTATGTATAATTTTGCAGATAGTTTTGATCTTTTTTTGTTTTGCAGATCTCCATTAATCCCTGTTTTGGGTTTGACCTTTGACCAAGTGACTGTGTTTGACAGAGGTGGCATCACAGTTGCATATAAGACCTTTTTGGATCCTAATGCTGTTCTACTACACGGATGTGACAAGTAAATTAATATGTGTTTGGTTAAAGTAATCTGAATCTCCTAATTCAGGATTTCCCCCAGAGTGAGAGATCTGACACACTAAAAGATGTTCTTTAACTTGTCTTATATAAGCAATTATTAATTATCAATTTCTTGTCTGTAAATAATTAAAATTGGCATTTACTGAGTGTTGACCATAGGCCAGACACAGTTATAAATGAATTAGGTAAGAATTGATTTAATCCTCAAAACAATTATTTTAATTTCGTTATTCCCTGTTACTCTAGTATTACTCCATTTTTCAGAGACAGAAACCAAGGCACGAAAAGATGAACTAATTTGACCAAAGTCACACAGCTGGTACATGGTAGTCAGGATTCTAACCCAGATCATGTTTTAAGGACTTGAGTGCATAACTACTGTCCAGCACTGTCCAGTAGAACTTTCCGTGATGATGAAAACACACTTCGTGACTACTGAGCACTTGAAATGTGATGAGTGTGACTGAGGAACTGAATTTTTAATTTTGTTTAAATTAAATTAATTTAAATTTAACTAGGAATATATGGCTAGTGACTACCGTATTGCACATTGCAGCGTGGTACTGACACTATGTAGAACTGTAATTTAACAAATTATAGCTCTCCTTAGTATACAGTTGAAAAGGCTGAAGTAGAGGGCATATTCAGAGAAGCAAAAGCAGTCTGATGAGGTCACTCAGTTCAGCTTAGTGACACCTGTTGCTAAATATGTCTAGACGGACATACTCATTGGTCTTCCAATCTATCCTCCAGTGATTGCTTGTACTTTTCAGGCAAGGTGTGAATCTGTTTCTTTTGCTCTCCTTTTCTTTATAGATAAAAAATAATTCCATGGATTTTCCATTTATAAGGATATTTATTCTGTGTGCAATAATCTTTCCCTAACTGTTAAATTTGCCTAGATCCTTTCCCTTCTATTTTTAGTTAGTTTATATTTTTAACTCATGCAGTCCTTTGTTTTACTTTCCCAGGTGCAATGAATACTGTTTTATTGAATTGATTCAAGTTAGATCTAGGTTCCTAAATATAACAATGTGAAAGCTGCCCTTACGGAACACAAACTAATTTTGTTAGATAATCTACTTAATTTTTACACTCCATTTGAATTTTCTTTCTATACTCTAAAGTGGATCATTTGAAATCTTAATATTCATAGTCTTATTTACATTTCTCAGAGTATTGATAAAAATTACCATTACCAATCCCAGGATTGGTTTCTGTTGAATAGTATGCTGTGTGGTATGTCCTAACTTATCAATGCTGAACCAGGAAATATTTTTTAGGATAAAGATTGGATCACTTTTAAGATAAATAATTTGATCGAACTGAGAATGAAACTCAACCTCTCCTGTTCGTGGTTTTTCCATGTACCCACTAGATTGTGATGCCTCCTAAGGCTCTCTTAAAAATGCCAAACTAGCATGTTTAACACCATCACTATAAGTATAAAGAAATTCTTTATTATTCATAGTCTAGGATATTTAAAATATAAATTAAACAATGAAGATGGTCTTCACTACATGTGATTCTGTAGGATTAAAAATCATTTTTTGTTCTAGTAATAATTAATTAGACATGGAATTCTGTAATATCACAAATAATTATGAAGTAAATTTTAAAGCCTTTTCTTTCCCAATTATAGATACTAAGGAACTTTACAAATTTCTGTTTTAAAGGAGTATGAACTATACATTGTATTTTTCTCTCAATAGTAGAGTATAAGATGGATAAATTATTGTACTAGTAAGGGGTATTATAATTAAATACATGTTATTCTAACATAAATAATTAAATATTTTATTTTTCTTAGTTGGGAAATTTGTGAGGGATTTCCAATTAATTTCAACTGCACCAATCAACAGATACCTAATCAATTTGAAAAAGTGGACTTGGGGAACCATTTCCTACAGAACAAGGTCAGCTTTTATTTATTGTACTTAATAAGGTGCATTTTATGTATAGGACACTCAGTCAATATACGGTGAGTGAGTTGATATTTGTGAAGGTTTTTTTAATACTATAAATTAATTTTACAAATGTTGGGATATTATTCTTTACTTCCTGTTAAGTAATTAAACACATCAAAACTGAAACAATATATAGCATTCCTGTTTGAAAACCTTCTACCTAAATTATGTCATTTAAGTACTATAGTTTGGCATATTTTCTATGTACCAGATATATTAATAAGCTGTAATTGTTTAAGAAAGTCTTTGCTTCCTTTTGTGCTATAGGATCTGGTCTATTTGCTCTATAGGTCAATGTACCTAGAAAACATAACTTCTTTAGAAAACTCAACTTGTGGCAACCTAATCCAGAAAGTCTGTTTATAGAAACATAACTTCTAGAAAACATAACTTCTTTAGAAAACTCAACTTGTGGCAACCTAATCCAGAAAGTCTGTTTATCAATTTATACTTAGGAATCTGTCCTTTCAGTAAAGAATGATTTTTTTCCAGATGAATTATGAAAAGCATTTTAAACATGTCCCAAAAGAAGGAACAATTCTTTTGTTTTTCTTAGCTGACAAGCTCTGTGTAAGATTGTTGTTCATTTCAGCTGCATAAGCTTTAGCTTTTGAGCATATTAAAATCAAAATCAAAAGGCATACAGGGATAGAGATGTCCAAAGAAAATAGGACTTTCTATCAACTGCTCTGGGCCCTTTACTCCTAAGACACAATGGAAAAGACACATTGCCCCAACCTGCTCTTTTAAAATTTCTCTATGATACCCATTCGATCTCTCTGTTACATCAAAATTTATACTGGAAATACTGGTGTTTCAAGAAACATATGAATCTTAAATAGTATAATTATAAAAACAGAATCAAATAACTATTTGTAATCCTCTCTGTTTTTGAGTAAATTTAGAAAATAAAAGTGAAGTGTTGTACTAATTAATGGTTTTTATATTTTATGTTCATCTGACATTAAATTTTATTTACCATTTGTCTGATTCTGTTGGCATTCCTTGTTAGGTTTTTGATGTAGCATTATTTTCCTGCTCAAAAAACTTTTATGTCTGGCTGTTGCCTACCGAAGTTCCAAGTTCTCTCCTGGCTTTCATCCATCTCTATGATTCTTTTCTCACATATCCCCACTCTTAACTTACATAATTTTCTCCTTTTCCTAATCCTTTCTGTATCCTAAACTACAGTCAGAACAAATAAATTGTGTGTATAACATACCTTTAACCTTGGTATATTTGTGCCATGGCTGTGTTGTTCTTTGCCTGAGATAAACCTCCAACCATTACTATTCCTCGCTTCTTAAGGTTTTACTCAACTCCTTCTTCCATGAAGCCTCCTCAGATCCTCCACTAGGAATTAATCCAATTATTTTGCACTCTCAGAACTCCTTTTCATCCTTTGAAAATTGTTCTTAGCGTTTGTGTTTTAGTATAGGCATTTACTTTTGTGTCTTTCTCCTCCGCTAAATTGAGATTTCTTTGGGCTCAGACATTATGTCTTATTCACCTTTGTATTTCTCAGAGCTGGAACAAAGACTTGAATGTAGAACAAGTGCACAATGCATTTTTGATGAGTGGATTTTTTTGTTTGTTTAGCTATAACCTATCTTTCAAGGCTGACTATTCTCTAATATGTTCTTTGTGTGTTAGCCAAGCCAGATTATTCATTTGTTGTTTTTTGAAAGCTCTCCATGCTTTCTGTTATTATGCTCATGTGGATCCCTCTGCTTGGAATTCAACCTCTCTTTTTTTCTTTGTTACCAGCCCCTGGCCTTCTCTGTCACCTCTGTGCCATAGCCTTGCAGCCTTGCACGGAATCTGGCATATTGTTGGCATTCAATAAATACTGTTGAAATCCTGCCCGTCGTTCTAGCCCTCTCTTACTTGTGACTGCTTCATGAAATCTTTCTTTACCCAAACCCCATCCCCAAATCAGATATGATGATTCTGGCCTTGATACCTCCATTGAATCCCTTCTGTGCCATTTACAATGACATTGAACTAGACACTGTTCCCCTTACAATATACTTTTGCATGTTTTAAGTCAACAAGCCTCCAAGTTTGGGTGCATTTCAGGTTCTATTTGGGTAGATGGGGGAGAATGATAGATTCCACTGGGAATGTTGGGATCAAATCATGTAGGGTCTTAACTCAACATTAGGGATTCTGGTGGTTGTACTGTTGAACATAAGGAGCCATTGGAAATATTTCAGCAGAGGCAAGATCTATTTTGATTCTTGTGTTAGGAAGATAATTCAGGAGGTCTTTGTCTTATCCTCTCTGCTAGACTGAAAATTCTCCAAGGGCAAAGGGTATGCTGATCTTCCTTGCCTCCACTGCAGTACTAGATGCTCAGAGTTAGTTAACTTGAATTGAATTCACTAATTAGCTCATTTGATAGAGACCAGCTCAAACCTGAAAATAAAATTGGATATCAAAAAGATATCAGAGAAAAGGAATCCAGAGGAGGCTTTTCTCTTTCCTTTGATGTCAAAGTGGGACTTTACAAAATAACCATATTTAATAATGTTGAAAAATGAGATAATACTGATAGTATATCATTATTAATTGTTTTTAATGATTTAGTGAAAATGAGAAACACACATCTTAAATAAATGTTTGTACCCTATTGTATTTTTGGTAAACTAAAATGGTTTTGAGTAAAATTATAGTCCAACCAAAATAGTAATGTAAGAAAGCAAAAATTTAATAAATCAGCTAGTAAAGAGAAGCTTTCAAAGAAAAATGGCCCTCCTTTAGCTATAAAACCTCTAAAATCCTTTCAGAAAAATGTCTCCAATTATTTACAGAAAGGTGATCAGTGCGTTGGGAACAGTAATTTAATGACCTGAAAAGGAGCACTTTTAAAGATGGATTCAGGAAAAGGTGACAGATATCTATAGGGCATTTTATTGTAAAATCTTGCTGCTCATTGAGGTAAAGAAGATACTAAGAGGATTACAACAGAGGTTGAGGCAAGGGAGGCAAAAGCCGATATTCTTGATGCATACGTTTTAAAATTGGCTTGAGATAGATATATCAGTGCCCAACCCCTGACTGTTCTTTTAAATCTCTTATTGACAAGTAAAACCTTTCCTACAGAGAAAAATTTGGAACATATAATCCCCATTTGTAATGTGGGAGACAGATATAACCCTGACAATTACAACCTGTTGCTCTTTTATCCATTTCAAAAATAGATTTGGAATCTACTACAAATTGACAATTTGGCAAATATATCTTTCAGCAGCTCTCTATTGTTACTTAAATTGGCAACATTTTTATATTGACTCAGTTGAAGGGCAATGAAATTATATGTTTCCGTGAAATGGATGAGATTTAAACTTCTTGGTAGTTAATATAAAAAACATTTCATGAGGAGAATACCTTGAGGAATGCTTGGTTATGGGAAAACATAGCAGAAAAATGGACTTCAGTGTTTGGCAGGTCATTTATTCTGCCAAAATGAAAAGGAAATTTATTCTGATCCTAGCCTCTTAATACCTGGCTTCACTGTCATTAGCAGGACACTAGTGACAACTTTCTGTATGGAAACAGCAAGAAAAACACCTAGTTATGATTTTAGAATTATGGCATACTTGTTACAAGTTAACTTGTAAATTCAGCAGTTATGGGTGCTAGCAGAATACATCCTTAACTGCTGAATTACTGTATATTCTGGTATTATTCTTGTCACAAAGGAGGCTGGGAAAAGAAAAACAATTCTATTTCTTTGGAGAGAAATTATTTATATACTGGAGAAAATAGAAAATTTTAGTTTAAATTTTGAACTGATTGCCATTAGCATAGGACACAGGACTTTAAATAAAATCCCAAGTTCTTTCCTTATTTTTGGACCAATAATTGAAAATTATATGAGGATTACATGCTTATATCTTAGATATTTTGCACTGCTGGGTTGCATAATTATGTATTTGCTGATATTTTCTGCTTTCAAACTTTTCCATTTCCTGGCCTTAGAGGTGGGTGTATTATCGGCTATGGAGTTAGGAAATAGAAATAAGAAGAAAGAATAGCAAGGGCACGAGGAAAGAGATTTTACTACATTTCTCACAGTTTGACTTTAATTTGTGCACAAAATTGTCTGGGTTGCATAATTATGTATTTGCTGATATTTTCTGCTTTCAAACTTTTCCATTTCCTGGCCTTAGAGGTGGGTGTATTTATCGGCTATGGAGTTAGGAAATAGAAATAAGAAGAAAGAATAGCAAGGACACGAGGAAAGAGATTTTACTACATTTCTCACAGTTTGACTTTAATTTGTGCACAAAATTGTTTAACTTGGTCCTAAATGCATTATCAAAAGTTAAAATCTTATAAAATCTCTATGTAGCAAATCATTTGTTGAGAATGAAGGTAGTAATTTATCAACTTCTTCTTTCAAGAAAAATTTTATTGTCTTGTGCTCTGTTCCTCAATAGATCTGCGAGAGAAGACTGTAGTGGTTCTCTCATTATTTTAAATTTGCACACAAATATTGAAGGCTACTCTACTTCTCTTAGTCATTTGAGGAAAAAAAATTAAACAAGAAGTTTTAACTGGCTCAGCATGTGTATGCATCATTTTTATCATTGACTATTTCTATCTATATTGTCACAGTTTATTCAGACAAATAAAATTATAATGATTATTTAGAGAGAGCTATGTATATAGGTATTCAAAAGAATGAAAGACAACTTCCTTTTTGATTCTCAAGAAGATTTAAAAAGGGTTTCTATTGACAAATATGAGAGTATGTATTTATGTATCAGTCTCAACATAAATGCTTTTATACACGTGTGTGCACACATATATATGGCATATTATGTTGCAGATTGTCACAACACTTTTTTTTCTGAATTCCAGTTTTCACAATCTCCCCATCCTTATAAATGTTTGGTCTAAAGCTAAGCTATTAGATTAAACTAAAAAGATGAAGTCTTTGCCAAAAGCGAGATTTTGAAGGAAATGTCCAGCTCTACGGCTACAGCCCAGAACGTGGGGCTGCCTTACCCAGCCTTTGTGTCACTTGGGTTTAGCACCACCCCAGCCTCGGTGTGGCTTTACTTTACTTCTTTGAAGACTAGATTTTAAAATATTGTTATTTTTATCGGGCTTTGTTCCACAATGACCTTTTGCTATGTGCCTCCTGAGAAATTTGTTTCTTTTCATATAAATAACAAAGTGTCAAAATGTATTTGCTGAAATAAATATTTCAAAAGAAAAAAGAAAAAAAAAAGAAGGTGAAGTAACAGAAGAAAAATGTAGTGGCTATTGTCAGTTTTAAGTGTATGAGAACCCTAGACTTGGCAAGAATTTGGTTTTTTTTAATAACACAAAATGAAGCTGAGTTTGTGGGCCTGGCTTTGTCTGCTCTATGCAGAATCACTTGGGAACTGTCCAGCAAAATATCTCTTCAAGAACAGCATGGTGTTAATACTGGGTGCCAGCCCAAGGCAGAGACAAAGGACCCCTTCGCTCTTCACCAATAAGCCAACTGTTAAAAGATTAAACCATGTTGTGGAGATAACAAGAGTTTAGGCGCTGGCAGCAGGTGCTGTACAAAGAAGCAGTTGGCAGTACAGTTCTTCTGTCTGACTAATTCCAGTCAAAACAATCTTCTGCCCAGTTACAGAGGGGAGTTTTGAGTGTGATGGCAACTTGGAGTTAGGAGGTTGAGCAAGAGTGCTACTTTAAATGCTGAGTCCTGTGGTGGATGGATTAGTAGAATATAGTTTATCATTGTTCAGAAACTGTGGGGGATTCCCCTCCGGAATCCAGCCACTACTGGCTACTGGGGAATACACAAAGAGCTGTAAGTCAAATCTGCTTTAGGTGGTGGGATTGCTGTATTTTTAATTTTTTTGTTTTCACATATAGGAGTCATATGACATTTTCTTCTCTTGAGAAATGACTATCTTCCAGTATAGAATAATTACCAAATATATTAGTTGTACACTTATGTAATTGCCTGATCACATTTGTAAAATATTGCCTTTGAAATTGTCATTTAATTTTGTGTATTTTGAAAAATAATTTTCTATTTAACAAATGCCTAGTATTAGCACAGATATAGAATGAACTTTTCAGTATTAGAAAATAATCTAAATTGTTATTGAAACAATGTCATTTTGGGGGCTTAAAGCATAAATTGGCATATTCCTGTAATTATATACAAATAAATATTGGTACTCAATGACTTAGAGCGATTGCTCAGGGAAACTGATCATATAATTTAGGAGATAAAATTTATTAAGTATGATGTAATAGAATTCCTACAGGTGATGTGAGTGCCTGGTAATTTGACAATCATATCTAAGTGAGAAGTGCTGGAAGGTTCAAAATATCTTTAATGTTTGTAATCTGATAAAGAGCACGGAGTTATGTAATCTGATAATGAACATGGGAAACACGGATGCAGTGTCTTCCCCTTCAGGCCCCTCTTGTCCATCCCCACAGCTGTCTCTAAGGTCTCAGCTCATATCCCTTTATTGTTAGGAGATTCTATGGACTTCCAGCTGTTTTCCCTGTCTTTGATGTCTCCATTCTGCAATCCACTATGTCTACCCTTTCCAGACCAACCTTCCTAAAATGTGCTGTAATCTAGTCCCTTCTGCTTGAAAGCTTTCACTGGTTCCCTACTGTCCACCTAACCTCATAGCCTTACACTTGGCACTTTCTACAGTTTGGCCAAATGTGCCTTTTGAGCCTACCAACAAATCCTAAGACACAGTGATTAAACTTTCTTCACTTTACTTGTAATACCTTTTTATTGTTCATTATTCCTGTCAAACTGTCTCCATCCTTCCAGGCCTAGTTCGCTGTTACCTCTTTCAAGATGCTCCACTGTTTGGTTACTCCAGCAGAAATGAGCCTACCATGTTTTGAAATCATTTGTATGGATCTTAACATGAAATTATGAGACAGAGAGAGCGAGAGAGAGAGAGAGCAAGAGAGAGAGAGAGAGAGAGAGAGAGTTATTGCTTCTACTCTGTTGTGTCTCTTTTGGGCAGGAAATATATTTTATAATATCCCATACTACACATTCTAGGGTCTCACATATCACAGTTGCTGCCCAACAAATATTGATGGAACTGAATTAAAGGGGATTGAGCACTACTTTTTGAAAATAGATCTTCTTAATCAGAATATATAATACCCCAGAATAACTTAAGTGTGCTGAGAAAGGTTAACTTTCAGACTATGAGTTTAAAATGCATACTTCTTCTCATGATTAGGTGGATCCCAACGTTGTTCTTCATGCCTCTGTTTCTATTGGAAAGCGGAGTTCCTCAAGTAGTGAGGGTGGGAGCAGTGAGAGTCAGATTGCACCATCGACCCTGTGGCCTGCAGCCAGTGTGTGGCTGATCACAAAGGTACCTAAGAGTGTCTGCTTTTGCAGAATGACTTCCGCAAGTTCACTGGCTCAGTGTGCTGCTCCAGCACCTGGTGCCCTCATGCACATGAGCATGCAAGTGAGAGTGTGACCAATTGTTGGCTGTTGTGAATGCTTCTCTGCTCTTGGTATTGTCTAGTCTAGAGGACTTCTGTAGATCCCCAAGTGAACGTTCAATTCACTTTTAGACATGCTGATTAGTTCATACTTTCGGAGTATATTTAAAGTGTGGGGCTTATTTGTAGTCCACAGACTCGTCATTTTCATGAGATTTGTCTGAACGTCATTTGCTTCCACTCCTAAATCTTCATTGTTGAGTCTCACTACCTCAGCTTCACTGAGCCTGGTGGATTAGCACCATAAAATGACTTTGCATATGGTCTTAGCAAGAACATAATTTTAAAAGAAACTCATTGTGCTCACTGGCTGAGCGTGGTGCAGACAACACCATGCCAAGGGTTGCAATCCCCTTACCAGTCAAAAAAAAAAAAAAAAAACAACAAAAAGAAACTCATGAGTGTAAAATGTGAACAATGCCTAGCATGTTTTATACCTGTGTATCTACAATATTTAATTTTTTACTTTATTATTATATTATTGGATCTGACTTAAGTGAGAACATATAATTGCTCTCCGCTTTCTTCTTACTATTGAAATGTGTCTTATAAATAGGTATTTTTATCTGAAAAGAGATGGTATATCTCATATCTATCCTTCTTGTGCATGTCTTTTGCTGCTTTTTGGCACTTCTGTGAATGGGAAATCACCTAGTCAAGTTTGGGGTAGTGGGGAGAGATTGAAACTATTTTCTCAAATAAAATTTTGGTTTGCCTTTAATCATTGTTCTTTGATTCACTAAGAGTTAAAAACAAACATATAGAATAATTAGGATACAAAGGTACTAAGAGTTGATATTCACTGTATATACCAAAGCAGAATGAGGTTAGATGAGATATTCCTGAAATCTGACTCTATCAACTACCAACCCTTTTTACATTTTATTTTGTTTCTGATTTAATAATAATAATTATCTATCATTTTGTTGACATCTACTATGTGTCAGACATTATGTTAGGCAATTTATGTGAATTTATTATTTCATTTAATGTTATGAAAACTGTGCAGGTTTTCATTATATAGCTGAAGAAACTGAAGTTAGTAAGTAGCAGAGGAAGGGTTCTTGGTCTGTCTGACTTCAAAACTCAAGCCTTTTAATGCAATATGAAATAACTGCTCTATGCTGACCATTCTGTGAACATGATGGAAGTGTTTGAGTCTTAGCGCTACTAGTGAATAGCTGTGTGACAGCAGGCAGGTCATGCACGGTATCTGGGCCTTAGTCTTCTTATGTGAAAAGAGTTGGACCAATTGATATGGAAGGTCCTTTCTAGATCTCATAATCTCTAATTTCATGGTATCTATTTCTGGAATTTCGTGATACCAGAAAACCTGCTCAGTTATCTAAATTTCCTCAAAAATAATTGAAATGCTTAATAAAATAGGATAGTCTTGGAGGTAGATAGATTGAAACTAGAATCTCTTGTGTGACCTTTGGAAAGTTACTTACCTGCCCTAAATTATTGTTTCCTTATCTATAATATGGAGTTAGTCACACCTTCCTTGCACAGTTGCTGTGAAGATGAAATGAGAAAGCATGTGTAAACTTCAAGCATGGTATCTGGTATACAGAAATTGCTTGATAAATGACGGTTGTCTTTCCTCACCCCAAGTAGTTCTTTTTTCTGTACAGAGAAGCGTATTCAAATGAGAATTCCATTCAGTGCTTATTAGAATCAAAGCTTTTAGAAATATTTTTCCTAAGTCATTGTATGTTTCTTTTCCACTCAACAAACACATGAAAAATAAAAGTTACATGCTGAAAAGAAAAAAAATTGAAAATCTTTTTAGATTGAATTTCCTCTTCCTTTTTGAAGAATAAATCCTTTCACCTGTCAAGATAGAGAATTTTGCATGTCATAAAATTTTGGATCCCCAGTATGTATAAATGTATTTCTTAGTCATCAGTTATTTAAAATGTTGTGTTGATTCACTAGGTAAGAAAGTGGTTAAGTGACCATTCAAACAATATTTCCAATTAATTTCCTTGTCAGAGAATACTAACATCTAAAATAAAAGCAGTTTGCAAACCACCTTAAAATGTTTAACCTGTGGTAATTAGACTCAGAGTAAAACTTTAAATTGATACAAAGGTTAAGGATTTGTTTCAATTTTTTCAGTTCACTGAACTTTTTTTTCCCTGTGCATACATATTTCAAGTAAGCTCTGTAGTTATAACTATGGCAAATGACACGTGATAGACCCCAAATCACTGCACTGTGAAATATGCACAGAAAAAAAAGAACAAATGAAGATATCAAGGTCTGTTTTATTTTGCGCTGAACTGTAAAATGCCACCCTTGTCGGACAGAAGATTACTGATTCTGAGCAGGGCTCACTGACTGCTAAGTTGTGGGTAGTGTTTCACTTTCGGCAACTGTTAATATCCGGGGTTATCCAGGCATAATGACCTCACTGTTTGTGACACATTGTTGAATTTTATGGTTCTTTTAACTTATTTAGACCTTTCTCCCCCTTCTCTATTCATTGGAAGACTGGAATGATCCTGAGCCGCGCAATAACTCAGGGCTGCCTAGCTATTGGTCATCCGATAAGAGTCAAGACCGCTGAGGGAACATCAATGGAAGGATATAAATTAATCCTACAGAAAAGGTAATGCTTATACAAGATAATAAATGCTAATTTCAAGAATTCTGAACAGTTAAATCACGATGCCTCCTGACTTAGATGGAATATTCATTATGCATTTACCTTTGTGTTCATAATATCAATGTTAATTTTCTAATTAAAAATAGGCTTGCAAATGTATGTTACTTAGTTTGGTAGTGTTTTAAAAATATTTTTTTAAAAAGTGAAATGTTGGCCTTCAATATGTATCTATGTTGTAGACAAACTGCTGCTTTACTCTGTAATTATCAGAACTCGTTTCTTTACATATGTCTTAATTTCTAATTAAAAACTTAAATTTCCATGTGTACTATTAACCTTTTCTCCATCTTCTGAATATAAAATATTAAATTGTGAAAGAAAAATCACAGAGACAAGAGAAAAAAAGCTGCTGACTTTTAAGGGGCCATAGTATCCTCTGTTTATTTTTCTGACTTGGGAAGATACAGTTACACATAAGAAATAGATTTTAAAAATTAGCAGTGAGGAAGAAAGTTTATTTATCTCCAACAGTCTGGTAGCGTTGTTTCCTAGACACTTTCTTTTTTCTTCTTTATCTTTTGATTTTACCTAGTGTTGACAAAAACAAGTCCTATTGTATTTCAGGACTTAGAAAGCCATTATCCAATGACTTCTGGCTGGATAGGCAGTTAGACAGTGCTTAAGGATAAAACCAGAACTAGTATATTTAGGCATCAGAGAAGCTAGCCCAGATTATGAATACAGAAGGGATATTTTCTTTAACATGTGAAGCAAGCAGACTGTCCAACAGGTATAAGAATATCACATAATGATTAAGAATGTTATCTACAGAGTGAGATCCCCAGATATAAATCCTGGCTGTACCTGTTACTCTAACAATAACAAAAAATTCTGAGGTGGCCACTATTCTAATTTCTTTATACTGCATTATCACATTTAATACTCACAACAACATGACAAGGTAGGTATCATTATTATTTTTATAGGAGAGGAAATTGAGGTAAAAGAAGTTAATCACTTGCTCAAGGTCATACCTACTAAGTGGTTGGGCAGGAATACAAAGCTAAATAGTCAAACTTTATAACCTGAAAGTAGATTCATAGCCACAACACTACACTGCCTATAAGTTAAAGTCCAGTCAGACAATTGCCAGTGAGTGCCAAGTGTGGGAACAGATACCTCAGTGGATAAATGGAGTACATCAATCAATAAACCCAGGAAGAAGAGAAAGGAAGACAGTAGTTTGGCACTGTGCAAACTGGCCAGGGCTAGTAGGGTCCTAAACATATAATTCCTAAGGAAGGGAAGACAAACCCAAAGCAAGTCCCAGTTTGATGTTGGCTGTATGTGAAGTGGGCAAAATGATTTCTGGAGCAGAGTCAGTGCTATAAACTGGAGACACAGCACGTTTTAACTTGCAGTGACAATGACAATGCCAAGCCATGGAACGTGGAGTCAGAGCTTCTTCAGCTCCTTTAGCTCACAGTTATAATAAAGAAAAAAACACAATCAGTTGTAACTGACCCAGATGTTACAAAGAATTACTGGAAAGGACATCAGAACAGTTGTTTTGATTGCATTTTGTATATTCAAGAAACTAGAGGAAAGATTGAACATGTTAAGTAAAGACACAGAAGATATGAAAAGACTCAAAGCAAGTTTTTAGAGATGAAACTACAGTGTATGAAACTCAACATCTGCTGAACATGACCAGTGGCAAATTAGACAATATGGAAGAAAATATTAATGAACTTAAAAAGATAGCAAAACTGGGCCAATCCCATGGCTCACTCGGGAGAGTGCGGCGCTGGGAGCATAGCGGCGCTCCTGCCACGGGTTCGGATCCTATATGGGGATGGCCGGTGCACTCACTGGCTGAGCGCGGTGCGGGCGACACCAAGCCAAAGGTTGTGATCCCCTTACCGGTCACAAAAAAAAAAAAAAAAAAAAAAAGATAGCAAAACTATTCACAATGAAAATCAGAGAAGAAAATACTGTTAAAAAAAAAAAAGAACAGAGAATCAATGAGATGTGAGAAACTTCATATGGCCTTGTTTCTGAGTATTTAGAGTCTCTAAAAGGATCAAGCATGGAACAGAAAAATATTGGGAGAAGTAGTGTCTGAAAATTTTCCAAATTTTGTGAGAATTATAAGCTACAGATCCAAGAAGCTCAACAAATTTCAAATACATGAAATGCAGAGAAATAAAATGAAGTCACATCATAATAGAATTGCTTAAAATCAGTGAAAAAGATAAAATCTTAAAAGCAGACAGAGAAAAGACACATTATTTACAAGAGAAACAAAGATAAGACTAACAGCAGATTTCTTCTTGGCAACATGCAAGTGAGGAGACACTGGAAGAATATCCTTAAAATACCACAAGGGGGAAAAAACCTGTTAATAAAAAAATCTTTTCCCAGTGAGAATATTATTTAAAAAGTAAGGCAAAATAAAGACCTCACATATTCACAGGCTGAAAGAATTCATCACTAGCAGACTTTCTGTATTAGTCTGTTTATGTTGCTTATAATAAAATACCTGAAACTGGGTGATTTATAAAGAAAACAAAATTTATTACTCACAGTTTCTGAGGCTGGGAAGTCCAAAGTCCATCTGGTGGTGGTGACAGTGACTCAGGGGTCTCACATTGCAAGATAGTGGAAGCAGAGAGAGCAGAGAGAGAAAGACAGACTCTCCTCTTCTTTTAAAGCTCTCAGAACCACAGTCCTGACCACCATTTTTAATCTATGCACTACTGCACGGTCCTACAATCCAATCACCTCTTCAAGTCTCCACTTTTCAGTTACCATAATAGGATATCCTGCCCTCCTAACAGTCACAGTGGGGTCAGGTTTCTAATACTGAAAACTTGGGAAACACAACTCAAGCTTCAGGGAGTTTTGGGAGGACATAATTCAATCCACTACACTTTCACTACAATGTCAAAGGAAATCCTTCAAGCAGAAGAAAAATGATACCAGCAAGAAATAAAGAGCGCTGGAAATGGTAATTATATAGGTAAATAACAATGTTACTAATTATTATTTAAGTCTCTTTAAATCATAACTGATTATTTAAAGCAAAAGAAAATTTAAATATTGTGGAGATAATAATATGTAGAAGCAAAATGTATGATGGAAATAGCACAAAAGCTAATAGGAGAGAAATGAAAAAAGATTGTTATACTGTTTATCAAATGGTATAATATGAACTGAAAGTAGTCTGTGATAAGTTAAGGATGTATAATCAGTGAAGAAACTACTAAAATAATGTAACAAAGAGTTATGGCTAACAAACCAGAAAAAAGAAAATGAAATAAGAAAAAATAATCCAAAAGAAGATAGATAAAGGAAGGAAGGGGAACAAAGAACAGAAATAGAAAATAAATAACAAGATGGTAGATTTAAATCCACCTGTATCATTAATCACATTAAATGTGACTAATCTGAACATCCCATTTAAAAGTCAGACATTGTAAGATTAGATAAAAAAGCAAAATTTATCTATATACTATTTATGAGAAACCCTCTTTAAATATAAAGACACAAATAGGTTAAATGTAAATGCATGAAAAAATATATACAATGATAAAACTAATTCAGAGAAAACTGGAATTTCTCTGAATTATCTGGAATTATCTGTCTGGAATGGCTATGTTACTAATAGAAAAAGTAGACTTCAGTAAAAAGAATATTACCAGGGGTAAAAGAGGGTCATTTCTTAATGATTAAGTGGCTGATTCATCAAGGGAACATAATAATTCTAAACATTTATTTACCTAATGACATGGATCTAGAAAACATGAAATGAAAACTGGTAGAACTGTAAGATGAAACAGAAAACTCTACAACTGTAGTGAGCTATAACAATATTCTCTTTCAATAATTAATAGAACAAGTAGAAAAATATCTGTAAGGATACAGAAGACTAGAACAACACTGTCAACCAATTTAACCTAATTGATATTTATAGAATAAAGCACCCAACAACAGCAGAAGGCATATTCTTTTCAAGTGCACAGCGTATTAACTAAAATAGTCTGTATTCTGACCATAAAACAAGTCTCAATAAATTTAATGGAATTCAAGTAATATGAAGTATCTTCTCTGGCCACAATTAAGTTAAATTCGAAATCAATAGCAGAAAGCTTTCTGGAAAACCTCCACATATTTGGACACAACATATTTGGACACATTTCTAAATAACCCATGTATCAAGGATGACATCAAAATGGAAATTAGCAAGTATTTTGAATGGAATGAAAATGAAAATACAACATATTAAAATTTGTGAGATGCTGCTTAAGAAGTTTTCAGAGGGAAATTTATATAAATGCTTATATAAGAAAAAAAGAAAAATATCAAATCAATATCCTCAAATTCTACTTTAAGAAACTAGAAGAGCTAATCAAATCCAAAGTAAGCAGAAAAGAGGGAATAATAAAAGTCAGAGTGGAAATCAATGAAATAGAAAACAGGAAAATAGAGAGAATCAAGGAAATAAAAGTTTTTTTTTTAAAGATCAAAGGAACTGATATACTTCTAGCCAGATTGTTTAGGAAATAAAGAGAGAGGACACAAATTACCAGTATCAGGAATGAAAGAGGTGATTTATACAGTTATTAAAAGGATAAGGGAATATTTTGAAAAACTAAGTGCCAATAAATTTGTCAGCTTAAAATATAAGGATCAATTCCTTTAAAGGATACAAACTACCAATGCTCATTCAAGAATAAATAGGTAAGCTGAATGACACTATATCTCTTAAAGAAATTGAATTTTTATTTGAAAACCTTCCCACAAGGAAAATCCAGTTTCAGATGGCTTCCCTCCCTTCACTAGAAATGCTACCAAACATTTTGGAAAAAATAGTACCAATTCTACACAATGTCATCCAGAAAATAGAAGAAGAGGGGATACTTCCCAGCTGATTCTAGGCCGGCATTATTCTGATAACAAAAAATAGACAAAGGAAATGCTACCAAACATTTTGGAAAAAA